GCAAAAATTATCCTCTTTAGCTGGTGCTGCAGAGATCAAACACGACGTGAGGAATGCTGCGATATGCTCTCACGTGATTTTGTCCAAAAAGAAAAAAAAAGGTTAAAAAATATCAACCCTGGGGCGCCTGGGTGGGCTCAGTCCATTAAGTGTCCGACTTCAGCTCAGGTCATGATCTCACAGTTCGTAAGTTCCAACCCTGCATTGGGCTGTCTGCTGTCAGCACAAAGCCCACTTCGGATCCTTTGTCTCCCTCTCTCTCTGCCCCTTCCCTGCTCTCTCTCTCTCTCTCTCTCTCTCTCTCTCAAAAATAAATAGACATTAAAAAAAACCAGCCCTTAATTTTATACTCAATGTAAGAATTGGCATCTAGTTCCAATTATAGCCAAATTCCTATCGTATGCAGATAAAATAAATTTACAATTTGCAATGCCATTGCCCCAGCCCGGTCAAAACGTCTCCCCCCCACCCCTTCCAGTGAAACTTTGGTCCCTGTTTTAAGCGACCTTTTTGTTTCTGGAATCAGTTATTTTCAGACACTCCAAACTCCCTTCATTTCAAGCCTTTCAGCTCAGTTACCACACGAAAGGCTGCATACCAAAGGTTAATGGTGGTGACCTCTGGGTGAGAGAATTATGGGTGCTGGTATATTCTCATTAGCTTAAGTATATGTTTTTATTTTTTCTAGAATAACATAAAATATTAAAGGTTTTTTTTTTTAAACTTACACACATGTATTTTAAGAGCACTGTGGCAGTGCTTACCTGTGACTTTCCCTTCCCCTTCGCTAATGGAATTTCATTTCATTCCAGTATTCAGAAAAAAAATGGGCTTGTGGGAGCTCCCTCAGCTCCAGGAAAGAGCCAGGAATAGTCTGAACCAATTATGAAGGTCCCGGTCCTGTTTGCCAACCCTGGGTTTAGAGGTCGGCATGCGACCAAGTTTTAATTAATGAGATGTAAGGGGATGCCTGCTGAGGAATTCCTGGAAAAGCTTTTTCTCCCGGGTAAAAAAAGGAGACATGGAAAAAAGAACCTAGCCTTCCACTTCCTTCATGCATTCTGCTATCATCACATGAAGACATGATATCTGGAGCAATGGCTGCCATCTTGTAACCATGAGGGAGAAGCCGAGAAAATCCCAGAGGGGTCTGTTTTTGAGCTGCTGGATTAACTAACCCTGAAATCGTCCACCTATTCTCTTCTTTTTACGTGAGATAATAAACTCCTATTGTTTAAGCCGCTTTAATTGGTTGCTACGTGGGAGTTTTTTGCAACCCAAAGCACCCCCAAATGCCATGAATGCTGCAACTTTGTGATGTTCAACTTCCTTAAAAAGGTATGTGAATCATCACTGTTAACTTTTCCATCAAGGGAGACCACAAAGAAATGTTTTTGTTTGTTTGTTCTTCTAAACAATGACACGTATCTAACTCCAGGAACCATCGCGTCACAACCTGAGATTACATGTCCATGTGGCCATCTTTGCAAGGCTCCCTCTGCTGGTTGTTGAAGGTAATGGCAGCTCCAGGTCTGCAGTGGTCCAGCTTGGGTCTACTTGTAGGGTTTGACCCGCTCTGTCAGTAACTTGGGGGCACTTCTACCTGAGACCCTCTAGCTTGAGGGGTGTCTCCAAGGCACACCTGGATCCCTGCCCTCAGGAACTTCCAGAACGGAGTTCTCCATTCCTGACTCAGAACACTCTTGGAGGTAGCTATCCCAGAGGTTGAAAAGTCAGACCCAAGGGCCGGGCAGTGAACACAAATGAGTGCCCCCAGTCCTGGGAAACTCATGCCCTCTCTAAACGGATGGCTGACATGTGGGAACACAGGCCCAGTGTTGGCAGATGTTCCGATATTTTCACAAGAACCTAAGTCGGTTGTGTCTGACTTCAGCTCAGGTCACGATCTCACGGTTCATGAGTTCGAGCCCTGTGTCTGGCTCTGTGCTGACAGCTCAGAGCCTGCAGCCTGTATCCAGTTATGTGTCTCCCTCTCTCTCTCAAAAAACATAAAATAAATAAAATAAACATTAAAAAAAAAGTTGACAACTACTTCAAGTATCCTGAAAACTCTGTGTGGACCAAACCAAAGTTATCTGAAGGCTGGATACAGCCCATTAGCTGCTGATTCACAACCTCAGGACTATTTGCACCTCATAGTCATGTAGCAATTATATACAGCTTTAGGACTGGCAAAGCCCTTTTCTGCTGCCCTCTCCCAAGCGTAAGGAGACAGGAGAACTCCTGTATCTCAAGACCAGATCCATTTATAAGATGAAAAATCCTCTCACCCCTCCCCAAAGATCAACGGCACTGGGATGGGTGCTGTTCTTTTTACGATGCCCCCAAAACACCCGAGGAGGAAAGCAAGGGCTCGACCCTGCTGAGGCAAAGGGATTTGTTGAAAGAAGACCAAGGTTGTCCAACAGGTAAAGTTCACAAGTTGGAGATGCCCCAGTTTCATTTTCTTGCCTTATTACACTGGCTAGGACCTCTAGTACATATGATGTTGAACAAGGGTGGTAAGAGGAGACACCCTTACCTTGTTACTCATCTTAGGGGGCAAGGATTCAACCTGTCACTATCATTATCAAATCTGATGTTATAGATTTTTTGGACATTCCTTGTACCAGGTTGATGAAAGTCCCTCCTTTTCCTAGTTTGCTGAGATACTTTCTCGTGAACAGATACTAAGTTTTGTCAAATGCTTTTTTCTGCACCGCTGGATATAATGGTGTGGTTTTTCTTCTTTAGACTGTCATATTGACTGATTTTTGAAGAGTGAACCAGCCTTGCATTCCTGGAGTAAGCCCTCCTGGGTCATGGCCTGGGTTTCCAAGCACTTTGAGAAACTCATTTGCCTCTGTTGGAAAGTGTAGGTAGTAACACCGACCCTACCCCATAGATGGTGAAGATTTAAACAAAAAGAGAATGTGTGTGTTCATGTTAAAGGAGATCTGTGCCTTGACCCAAAGTGCTATTCAAATAGAGGCTAAGAAGAGGCCCCACAACTGCAAACGTCTGTTTTCCAAGCTTCTGGCATACCCAGCCCTGCATGAAGCACAGTAGATGCAGTCCATGACCCAGGAAGCACAACAAAGTGATTTTAGATGCCCCTCAGATTATGATTTTAATTTTATTTTTTTTTCAACGTTTATTTATTTTTTTGGGACAGAGAGAGACAGAGCATGAACGGGGAAGGGGCAGAGAGAGAGGGAGACACAGAACCGGAAACAGGCTCCAGGCTCTGAGCCATCAGCCCAGAGCCCGACGCGGGGCTCGAACTCACGGACCGAGAGATCGTGACCTGGCTGAAGTCGGACGCTTAACCGACTGCGCCACCCAGGCGCCCCTGATTTTAATTTTAATAGTCACAGGGGCGCCTGGGTGGCTCGGTCAGTTAAAAGTCTGACTGTTAATTTCAGCTCAGGTCGTGGGATTTCATCCCAGGGTCGTGGGACTGAGCCCCACATCGGGCTCTGTGCTGAGCAGGGAGACTGCTTACGATTCTTTCTTTTTCCCTCTGCCCCTCTCCCCCACTCATGCTCTCTCACTCTAAAATTTAAAATAATAATAATAATTTTAATAGTTATATATTCTTTTCAATGTGCATGCAAAAAAACCGTATATAGTTGCAATGTCTAACATCCGGTTTTATGCACAATGATGAGAATAGTTTATGCTGAGTTACTGAGTTATTTATTTACTTATTTATTTAGTTTTAATTTATGTGGAGAGCACAAGCAGGCAAGGGGCATAGAGAGAGGGAGAGAGGGAGAATCCCGAGAAGGCTCCCCACTGACAGCGTGGAACCTGACTTGGGCTCAAACTCATAAACTGTGAACTCATGACCTGGGCTGAAATCAAGAGTCAGGCGCTTAACCATCTGAGCCACCCAGGCGCTCCTTCACTTAGTGAGCTTTGGCTAAGTACCAGGCTCTGTTCTAAGCCCTGCATGTTCAATAGTTCACTTAATCTTCACATCAGCCTATGAGATAGGTCACAGTTACTGTCATTGTCTTTTGCAGATGAGGAACCAGAGGCACAGAGAGGTTAAGTAGCTTGCTCAAGGTCACACAGCAACTGAGTGGCAGAGCCGGGATTTAAACACAGGTGCCCCTATTCTAGAATCTGTGCTCTTAACTAAATCTTGTTCAGTTGGAACTAGATTGTGAGAAAGGGAGCTTATGAGAAAAATATGAATATAAGGACATAATTTTTATGAAGTCTAACAAGAGCCAAAACTGAAGGTGATAGAAGTCACAATAACAGTTACCTCGGGGGGGGGGGGTATAAAGGAGGTAGTGACTAGGTCGAGGCATGAGGGAACTTTCTGGAAATCTTTCACATCTTGGTCTGAGTGGTGGTTATAGGACCGCAGACCTATGCAAAAATCAATTTTAGGCTGGACACGACATCTGGCCACCCCCTGCTGTCTGTGTATTTCGCCTCAGCTAAAAGTTCATTAAGAATAGTGATAATAATGAGGCATCAACATGCAGATAATAAGCAACGGCCTTCAGACTGGAAACGCCTGCATTAGAATCTCCACAAGCTGCGAGACGGACCCTATCACTCCCTTTTTACAGATGGAGAAACTGAGGCTGGAGAGGAGAAGACCTCTCACACCACCCCCCGGGACTCCAGCCTCGGCTGGCTCCAAGTGCAGGGCAGCCTGGCTCAGCCCCAGGGCTGGCAGTCACCCCCTTCCTTCGGAGGTGAGGGCACCATGCGGTCCGCACCCTGACGCAGGGCCGGGGGGCAGCAGAGGGGCCGGGCGCCCCGGCCGCCCATGCCCGTATTTGCCCAAGCTGCCTGCTCTCTGTCGCCCTCCCAGCCGAGCGCCCAGATGTTCAGCTGCCTTCTTTCCCTTTTTCAGTCTCAAGGCTCCAGGGGCCCAGCGCCCGCCCGCCCAGCTCCACATTCCTGGCGAGGATGCAGGCGGGCCGGCCCGGAGGGGAGGAGCCCCGTCCCCGTCCCGGTCCCCGTCCCCCGCTCACCTTGCAGCATGCTCCGGTAGGCCGTGTCAGCGATGGCGTAGATGTGGGGTGGCATCTCGTGCCTCTTCTTGCCCTTGTACATGTCCACGATCTTCTCTGAGTAGATGGGCAGCTGCTTGTAGGGGTTGACCACCACGCAGAAGAGGCCGGAGTACGTCTGCGGACAGAGAACCCGAGTTGACTTCCAGAACACGGCCGCCCAGCCCGCAGGTCCGGGAGCAGCGACAGCCGCCACTGCCTGCGTTCGAACACTTACCGAGCGCTCTGTGTGCATTTTCTCCCCGCATCCTCACAGCAAAACTGTTGGATGCGTTCGTCTTGCCGTTTTAGAGATGGGGAAACTGAGGCGTAGAGCCCTCACGGGAACCCCTTGGCATCCCTGTCAAGGACAGGGATGGGGGAAGAGGACCAAGGGGCAAGACTGGCTTTCTGGACCACCCGCGTTCTGTTTTATAGCTGCGTGCTTTCCAATCGTCCATGTTCAGACCTCCCAGAGACTCACGGGCTTGGACCACAGCACCAACTGTTGGGCACCTACTGTATACTGTATACACTGAGCTCTAAGCCCTTCACGGGCATCTCTCTATTTAGCCTCCCATCTACCCTGTGACAGTCGCACGGTGATTTCCCTGCCGCCCATAAGGCAGATGAAGAAACAGGGTTCGGGAGGTTGTCACACACACACAGCCGGCCAGAAATTTGCACCTTAGAGACCACGATGCCTCCTCCCCAGATCTCATGCTCTGCACAGTTAACAAGGTACTCCCTCATCTGTACAAAAAAAAAAAAAAAAAAAAAAAAAAAAAAAACAGGGACAAACACAGCTGTCCTTAAAAAACATTCGTACTGGGGCACCTGGGTGGCTCAGTGGGTCAAGCATCTGACTCCTGGTTTCGGGTCAGGTCATGATCTCACAGGTTTGTGGGTTCGAGACCCATGGCAGATTCCGCACTGCCCCTCCCTCTCTCTCTCTGCCTCTCTCTCTCTCTCTCTCTTCCCCCACCCCTCAAAATAAATAAACTTAAAAAAATTATATATATATATATATATATATAAAGATTGGTACTGACACAAGGTACGACATGGGCGGACCCTGAAAATGGTATGCTCACTATGAAAGACACAAAGGTCACATAGCGTATGATTCCATTTATATGAAATGGCCAGGACAGGCAAATCCATAGAGACAGAAACAGATCCCTGGTTTCCAAGGACTGGGAAGGGCGGGGGGCAGGCCGGGGGGTGGGGGGAGGGCGGTGACTGCTCATGGGTATGGGGTTATAAAAATGTTCCGAAACGAGACAGGGGTGATAAGTGCACAACACAGCAAATGTGCTGAAGGCCACTGAATTGTACCCTTGAAAGTGGATCCGGTGGTGAATTGTATGTTATATGGGTTTTACCACAATTAAAACAAAATCGTCGTCCTGCCCTACCAAGGGCACAGGAGCATCTGGAAATGATCAGAACAGGGAAAGGGGGTGGAGGCACGCCGCAAGCCCCACCACGCGCGCACACGGGAGGCACTATCATCGCTATGGCTGTTCCTTACCGGACATCAGATTGCCCCCTGGGCTGAGGTCACAGCTCAGGGCACAGGTTCCGACCCGCCCCACAGGAACTGCTTTTCCCGAACGATACCATCAGGGCCGCCCGGGGCTCCAACAGCCCCCAAGCCTGTCCTCCCTCCAATTCCCCCTAGAAGGGACTCAAGGAAGAGCCAATGGTCCACCTCTGGGCGACCCTCAGGGCAAAGCCAACACCAGAGAGGTTAAGCAACTTGACCAAAGTCACAGAGGGAGACCCTGACAGCACTAAGCCCAGCTTGGCCAACTCCCAGGCCTGAGCGCCGCCCGTGAGGCTACCCGACCCCTGCCCATCCTATAGAAAGAGAAACAACACATCGTTCGTTCATTCACTTGCTTGTTCATTCAGTGTGCACGTCCTAGACACCGTGCAAGACTCTGGGGTTAAAGAAGGCAAAGCACACAAGGTCCTGCCCTCAAAGAGACTTCAGCCCTGGCTACAGCTGATTGGAGGAGGGTCTCTCCAGAGCTCGGTCTGCTAAGGGACAATGGTGTTGAGGTGGACAGTAATCTTCAAAAGGTACAGGACTGGTGGGGGAAGGAGGGAATAATCTCTCAGGTCCTCACCATTCCCCTAAAAAGGCAGACATGAGGTCGCACAGGCCTGTCGAAACATCCATCAGCCATTTATTGAGCACCTACTGTGTACAGGTCTGTGCTAGACAGGTCTCCACCATGCTGGAGATAAATAAATCAGAAGAACCCACAGATCAGAGCAGGGACAAGGACACTGAACAATAACATCCAAGGAACCAGGATGGAGCCCAGGGGATTAGGGATGCAAGGAAGTCAGGGCCCTAACCCACCCTGGGGGCGGTCAGAGAAACCTCCAGTTAGGAGGTCTCGAGAGACAAGAAGGGCTTATCCTGCTCAGGAGGTAGCAAAGGCACAGAAGGCAGCAGGGCGAGTGTGTGCATGCAGCCTGCAAGCAGTGCAGTATTTCTGGAGCATCGAGGAGGGGACAAGCCAGGGTGAGGGGTGAGGCTCCTGCAGAGGCGGGCAGGGGCCAGACCGCACAGAGACGGATGAGTCCACCATCCGCCCGACGCCCCACTCCCAGATCTGATCTTCCAGGCCCCTCCCACCAGAGCAAGTGCCCTGAGGGCGGGACCACCCTCTTCCTCTGCTTCAGTTCAGGCCTGGGCCTTGGCATACAGTAGGTGGTCACTAAATGCTTGCTCAATAAATGACTGAGGGGTAAGCTGATTACAAATCTGCCCTGGAACAGGGACCCCCGATGTTGATGTCTTCATCTCTGTGACCCAGGGCTTTGCACTGGGCTGGGACACAGTACGTGCTCGGGAGATGTTTGCTGAGCTGGTGGCACAGTTGTTCCAGAACAGGGGCTCTGTGTCCCCCACTCATCTGTGTCCTGGTCCCCAGTGCGAAGCCTCCCATAAACTAAGTGCCCAGTCAACGATCACTTGTTTGAATGAACGTCAGCCAAGTCCTACCTCTCCTTCAGGTCTGAATGCCACCTCCAGATCCTTCTGGGCTGTGCCCACTGCCAACCACAATGCTCATTTATAGCCCAAACCACACCCTCACCAAGCCCTTGAGCTGGAGGCAGTAAAGGTCAATGCCTAAGGATACAGAATTGAGTACTGAGGACTTGGTTTGAACGCTCATTTTGCTACTTCCTGGCTGTGTGACCCCAGGAAAGTCTCTTAACCTCTCTGAGCCTACTAACCTCAACTACAAGATGAAGGTATGTAACAGATCCTTCAAAGGCTTGCTGTGAGAGAGTGCTCATGAAGCATTTAACAGAGTGCCTGGTATACAGCAGGTGCTCAATAAACATTAGTGACCATACCATGCTGCCTTGGTTTCATGATGACAAAACCCTTGTCAGCCTGGAAGCTTCGCAGGTGCTGCTTCTGTACCTCGACTATGTTCCCCACCCCCCTCAATCTTCCCAGAGCCATTTCCGTCTCCTCTTCCAGGGCTCATCCTAAATGTCACCTTCTGGACCGCAAGCTGCACATCACAGTTTCTCCAGCACCCAGCGTAGGGCCGTATACAAGGCAGACCCCAGTCAATAGTTGCTGAAGGCAATGAATGAAGGAAAGAATGTGTGGCTCTCCCAAATCCATCACCAGCTTCTCAAGAACTGTCCCTTTCCCCGTTTGCCTGGGACACCTCCTGGTGCTAAGCACCCAGCAAGCACTTAACCCGAGCTTCCAGGCAGATCTGAATCTCTGTTCGGCGCAGCAAATCTTTCCAGGGCACGACGACCCGAGGGGAAGGGCTGAGCAGGCATGCCCCCGGCAGGGTGGTCGGGCTGCAGAATCTGGAGGTTTGATCGACAGTGTTCAACCTCCGTTGCCTTCACCAGACCCGCTGGGCTCACCGGCTGGTGGCGGTGTTTCTGCCTCCTCACTGTCCCCAAGGTCCTCTCCAGCTGGTCAAGTTCAGAGGTTTCAATAGCCCCGCCTCCTGTGTCCCGGCCAGCATTTCAGGGCCCCATGCCACCAGCAGGTCCCAGCCACAGGCCCAGGGTTTCCCTCTTGTGACCGTATTAGGAAGTGACTCCAGTTTTTCCCTGACACTTTATATGGTCAGCCACAGAGCTCTGAGCAGGAGTCTGCTCCCACAGCCTGCGGCAGGAACAAGCACCAACGGAGGAAAGTGGAAAGAACACAGACTTTGAGCCGCACGGGCCAGGGGAGAACCTCAGCTCTGCCCTCATTCATCACCTGTGTGACTCATGGGAGTGGCCGGACCCCTGAGTCTCTTCTTCCCCATCTTCTTCTCCGTCTATAAAAAGATGGAGACCCGTACCTTCTTTGCCAGGTTGTCACACAATGTCATGGCAACATCTATCCTTAAAGACAGACACGGTCCACCAGGAATGCAATTTCCTGCAGCCTTGATTCGAAAGGGAAGAGAGACTAAAACTTACCTAAATATCCATCATCAGGGGGCTAGCTTCTTAATTATGGCATGCTGCCATTAAAAAGAGTATATTTAGGGGCACCTGGACGGCTCGGTCGGTTAAGCGTCTGACTCTTGATCTCGGCTCAGGTCGTGATCTCAGGGTTCGTGGGCTCGAGCCCCACTTTGGGCTCTGCACTCAGAGTGCAGAGCCTGCTGGGGGTTCTCTCCCTTTCTGCCTCTGCCTTTCCCCCACTCACGCTCTCTCGCTCTAAATAAATGAGTGAACATTAGAAAAGAGTGTGTTTGTACATATACATGAATGTACACCAAGACAAATACACATGCATCTGCCTGTATATGTATAAAGTATTCCTGGAAGCCTATGAAAGAAACACCAGAGCAGTTCCTCTACAGAAGGGAATCAGAAGGAATGGGGGTGAAAGGCAAAATTCCCGATACGCTGATATACTATTTCCTATCTGTATGTGTTACCTATTCAAACCAATGTTTTAAATTCAACTAGATAGTTACAAACAAACACAAGAAAAAGCCACAAGACGTCATGTATGCTTCTTATTTTTAAATATTCTCTTGAGGTCTTTGCATGGATGGCCTCACGTTACTAGAAAGGTTTGAGAGGGGCGCCTGGGTGGCTCAGTCGGTTAAGCGTCTGACTTCAGCTCAGGTCACGGTCTCGCGGTCCGTGAGTTCGAGCCCCGCGTCGGGCTCTGGGCTGATGGCTCAGAGCCTGGAGCCCGTTTCTGATTCTGTGTCTCCCTCTCTCTCTGCCCCTCCCCCGTTCATGCTCTGTCTCTGTCTCAAAAATAAATAAACGTTGAAAAAAAAAATTTAGAAAGGTTTGAGGCCATGTCAATTCAAAAGATCTGAATAGTGAGTTCACAGGGCTCAGAAGAGGGTAGGCTCCAGCTGTGTTTTCTTTCTACCTTCTAAGACTCGGTGCAGTCATGTATTTTTTTTTTTTCCCACCCTCCAGGACTCTCTGGCACTCAAGAGGCCGCTGCTCATCATCTGCTCTCAGCATCCCTGGGTGGGTACCCCTTTAGGTCACTGAGCCAAGTGTCCAAAAAGAAAACATCATCCCCTGCTTGACTTTGGAAGGAAGGCCCTTCCTTACCCCCTGGTCTTCCTCGAACAGTGACGGAAGAACGAGGAAAATATCCTTTGGGGTTCACAAGTCGGGAATTTGGGCTTGGAAACCCAATCAATAGGAGAGGCCATCCGCCTTCGCTCTGGATCAGGTTCCTAACCCCAGGGGCTTGAAACAGGGGTGGAAAGTCCTACTGTTTTCAGGGACCAAGCACGTCAGACGGGACTAAAGTAAGCCAGGTAGGAGAAGAACAATAGGTAGGTGATTAACGACCAACAATTCTCAGCTTCAGGGTCTGGGAGACAACAGGGAGCAGTGAGGCCTGTGCAAAAACAAGGCCCACAGCCCACCTAACAGGATGGCCCAGGGGCTGCTTTTTAAAGCAATGCCAGCAACTGAGATTTTCTTTTTCTTTTTTTTGGGGGGGGGGGGGGCAGGTGGAGAGGAAGGGGGAGAGATGTATCAAATTAACTCCTCCATTTTTAAAAAATTACTCACTCTGGGCCAAAGGCTTACAACCTAGTAGGTGCTCAAGAAATCCTAAGGGAAAAGTTAGACTTCTTCCTTCCGTGCACGTAAAGCTTGTCGAGCTCAAAGTTAATGGTGTCCGTGGCATCATCCCCACATGCCCCAGCCCACAGCCATCACCTCCTGCTCAAGCGTCCAGATATCCTACAGCCCCTTACCATCCAGGGGTCGTGACTCTGGCCCTGGAGGCAGCCAGACCTTGCCTGAATCCCAGCAACAGGACCAAGCACGCCTGAGCCTCAGTATCTTGGTCTCTGAAATGCGGTAAGAGCCTCTGTCTCCCAGGATCATTGGAAGGAATAAATGAGTAGCAGTTAGAAGCACTGCTCCCAGGGCCAGCCTTCCCGGCTTCAAGACCCAGCTGTTTCTTATCAAGTTATTAAACTTTTCTAAAACCCAGTTTCTTTCTTTTTTTTTTAAATTTTTTAAATGTATTCATTTATTTTTAGAGAGAGGGAGAGAGAGTGGGTGAAGGGCAGACAGAGAAGAAGAGAGAGAATCCCAAGCAGGTTCTACGCTGTCAGGGCAGAGCCCAATGTGGGGGTCGATCCCAGGACCCTGGGATCATGACCCAAACTAAGATCAAGACACTTAACCGACTGAGACACCCAGGCCCCCACCCCCACCGGTTTCTTTAGCCGCACCCCCCAACACACCCCACCTCTGACTACCCCCCTTCCACAGTGATTCTGAGCGTGACTATCTTCGATGCCTCAGGTAAGTGACATCCTGATTGTTCGTCCTTCTGTGACTGGCTTAGTTCACTCAGTATAATGTCCCCTAGGTTCGTCCCTGTTGCACATATGATAGGATTTCCTTAAGGCTGAATCATAGTCTGTTGTACGGATACAGCACATTTTCTTAATCCATCCATCATGTTAGAAACTATCTCCTGCATCTGCCTCGAGCTCAAGTGTGTCTAATCTTCCTCCTCTTAATTACCAAGCTGCTCGGGGCACGGGCTGAGCCGTGTAACCCCTGGAATCCCACAGCAATGCAAACAGAACAAGCAAGAGCCCACGCATCCCCCAGCTGGGCAGGCCAGCCGAGCGTGACACAGGTCCCTCCCTTCCCAGGCAAGTCAGGTCAGGTCTCTGCCTCGGACAGGTCATGCGCAGAGTGGGAGGTGACCTTTGCTGTCACCAGTGGGGTCAAGGACACAACACGCTGGGAAGGACTTGGGATGGGACCCAGGACAGGCAAAGCCCACACTCTACTGATCTTCCTGTGCCTGAAACCCTGGTCTCATCCTCCATGTACTAAAAATAGAGCCAACTGCTGAGTGGTCGCACTAAGCTCCGGGCAGAGGGAACCCAGCGCCCAGAAGGGCAGGTGAGGGTGGACGAGGACTCGGAATCACCCCCTACCCTGCCCTGCGGTGTGCCAGGATCAGAACCTGCACAAAGATGGCAAGAACCTGCACCAAAAGGCTCATGAAATAGGACCCAGTGGCTTCTATGGACTCTTCTAGAACCAAGAGGACAGCAGTCTTGATTTGAGGTGTACTTTGCAGAACGGAGGGGAAAGTTCTCTTCATTACCAAGGGCAAAGCTGGATGGACGGATGGACGGACACACACACACACACACACATACACACACACACCGGATGCTCCAGCATCACCTGCCAACACCCACCTGCTCCAAGCGCTGTCAGGTGCTTGGAGACTAACTGGTTGTGCCTCCCCTCCCCCGCTTCCTTCTTGATCTCCTCCACCATGGACAACCGGTTCTATTTAAGTGATTAAATTGAGCAGAAAGGAAGGAGACAGGAGTAGGCACGTGGTCACAAGGCCGGGAGGCTTTGCATCTAATCTGTGCAGGGAAGCATAGCAGCAATTAAAAAAAAAATGAATCAAAGCTTCCATCTGTTTGTCAGATTAGATATTCTGGGTCTTGGGACCTTCAGGAGGCCTTCATTTCTTCCTGGTTTCTATTTTGGGCTCAAACGCTGAGTCAGAGGACAGGAGGAGAGATTTACACACAGGCCCGTCCTTGACCTCCCCCCGGGAGAGAACACATCTTCGGTGGGAGACTTGGGAGAACTCCCACTTTACCCTAGCTCCCTGCAGGCTGGACTCCTTAGAAACGTCCGTCCTGTGCTGACAGCTCCAGATTGATGGTATTGCCATACAAGGAACAGCTTGGACTAAAGGTACTTTCCCCGCTCAGGGCAGTTAAGGACAGGCTTTAGCTCTCTGAGCCTCAGCTTGCTCATCTGTAAAATGGGACAAGCATACTTTTCAGTGGATGGTCTGCTGGTTAAATGAGGTAAGACGTGTCAAGTTACACAACATGGGTTACCCTAGAGATTACATAGCCCCTAAGAGGGTATTTTGGGGGGTTATAATGGAAATGTGGGAATGCTCGGCCTTGACTCATGCAGAAAAAAGAGTGAGCCACTAACCTATGTGCACAGGCTCGTAAATAGGTAAACATGTACCAGAGTCACAGAGAAACACTGAGAACATGGCAACATCTTATCAGTTTGTGATCTCTGGGCGAGGACTGGTTTCTGTGTCGGCTGTGCTTTTCAGAACTTTCTGAATCTCCTGCGATGAACCTGACTTAATTTCCTAATTAGGAAAAAAAGTCTGCAGAGCATTTTTATAGATGACAAGGGGTTTTTTTTGGTTTGGTTTGCTTTGGTAATTTTCACGCGGCAACATGTAAGGGACGGGGTCGGAGGCCACAATGATGAAGTGACTGTCTGTGCCAATTTGCAAATGATCCAAGAAACAAGACCCTAACAACGGCATAACCAGCAGTAACACCGAGCGTTGTGAGCGCCGACAATGTGCCCAGAGGCGTGACAAGTGCTTTCTTTTCAGCGTAACCCACTCCGTGAGGACGGTACTCTTGTTGCGTTCATTTCATAGAGAAGGCAACGAAATGCCAGAGAAATGAGGTAACTCACCCAAGGGATCGGCGTGCCCTTTCCGAGAGGCAAAGAGACCGAGTCTAACCCAGAGGGCCCTCTGCCCAGCAGTTGAACACCAGGGGGCCACCGAGGTCCCTTTGGCTCCGGGAAGTGGGTCCAAACCCACAAGGAACCTGCGCACCCCCTGAGTCACGTCGTCCCCCATCATCTATCCCAGGCTGCCCCACAGGACTTCCTGCAGGAACAGAAGTGTGCTATGCAATGCAGCAGCCACCAGCCTCAGGTGGCGGTCGAGCACTGGATATTGGCCAGTGCCACCAAAGAGATGCATTCCGACTTCTAAGAAACTTGCATCTAAATTTAGTTAGCCGCAGGTGGCCGGTGGCTACCACAGTGGACAGGGCAGCTCTGGTCTGCACGGCCGACCCAGAGGAGTCCCGGGTCCAATCTAGGTATTCCTATTTGTGCCAGGGAAGGCCTCCGCAGAACCTAGCCAGACCCCCAGGTCGCCTCCCGCCTGGCTGCCCAGGGGGTCCAGCCTTCCCAAGAGGTTTCGCGCACCTCGTCACCTCCAAGATGTCCCTTGGCACGTCGCATGTGGGGTCACGTGCCATCTCTGCACTTCCTTCACATGCGGGGGGGGGAGGGTATTCCCATTTCACCTACAGGTAAACTGAGGCTTTGGTGAGTGGCAGCATTTTCTGGTGTCACCGAACTAAGTGGGGCGGGGCCGAGGTCTGGACCCAAGTCTGAACGATCCCACGTCACCATGGGGCCCCTCTCCAACGGAACTTTCCCCCTCCCAACCCGTAGGCCTGCACGAAGGGACTGGCTGCCCCAAGACACTCACGTAGATGAGCCCGGAGAAGTACCTCTCCCTCAGGTTGTGCAGCACAGAGGCCTCGTTGAGGCACGTCAGCTCTGCCATGTCCTCCACCTTGGAGAATTTGGGCGGGTTCATCTTCTGGATGTCATCTTTGCCGACCGTCACCTTCTTGCCATTCTCCACCAGCTCCACGATCACCTCGTCCCCTTTCTCCTCCTTGATGCTGGCTGCCTCGAAGCCCTGCTTCTCCGAAGGGACCCAGACCAGCTTCTTGGCGGCCCAGTCGGCCTGGGCCACTGGGCTGTTGACGAAGTTTTTGTCCACAAAGAGGAACTTCTCATCATCGCTGAGCTGGCCCTTCTGCGCCATGGTGCCTGGTTGGTCCCCTGTGGAATAAAGCGACAGCATCAGTATTGGGTCAGAACCGAGCCCCAAAGACGGTCGAAGCCCTTGCCTCGCATGCCTAGGGAACATTCTGCCAAGTAGGAGGATGTTCCGTGCGGTATGTTTATGCGGCCAAAGAATGCAAACAACTCAAAGTCCCTCAGGAGAGGGTCTGCATCATTGCCTGTTGTCAGCCATCATGGCACCGGATCCACAAACCACGTTATTTTCATGCGACAAGATACTACTATCCAGGGGTCTCGGAGCAAGAATGAGGTCTACGTGCGTGGACATCCAAAGAGGTCCACGTCTTACTGTTTACTATAAAAATAAAAGAGAGGCGTTCAAATAGTTAAGCCCAGAGATACCATAGGATCCAACAATTCCATTCCCAAGTGTAAACCCAAGAGGAAAGAAGACAGACATCCGCACAAAACCTCGTAGCGAAAGTTCACAGAAGCATTCCTTACGATGGCTAACACAGGGAAGGAACCAAGGCGTCCGTGGACAGATAGAACGGATAAATAAAATGCGGTCTATCCATGCAGTGGAATATTATTCAGCCTGAAAAAGGACAGAAGTACTGATCCACGCCGCACCACGGAAGAATCTCAAAAGAATTACGCCAAGTCAAACAATCCAGTCGCAAGGTGTCACAGACTGTAGGATGCCCTTTATGTGAAATGTCCACAACAGGCAGATCCACAGAGATTCAAGCAGATTGGTGGTTGCCAGGGCCTGGGAGAGTGACAGCTAAGGGCTACAGGGCTTCTTTAGGGGTAATGGCAATGTTCTGGAATTTATTGTAGCTGCGGACGTACAGCTTTGTGAATATGCTCACAGCCATTCAATTGTACCATTTAAATGAGTGAATTACATGGCACGTGAATTATATCTCAGTAAAGCTTTAAAAAAATGAAATAGGGGCGCCTGGGTGGCGCAGTCGGTTAAGCGTCCGACTTCAGCCAGGTCACGATCTCGCGGTCCGTGAGTTCGAGCCCCGCGTCGGGCTCTGGGTTGATGGCTCGGAGCCTGGAGCCTGTTTCCGATTCTGTGTCTCCCTCTCTCTCTGCCCCTCCCCCGTTCATGCTCTGTCTCTCTCTGTCCCAAAAATAAATAAATAAACGTTGAAAAAAAATGAAATAAAGGGGAGAGTGTAAACAGTAGGTATAATACCCCATTTTTATTTTAAAGCATTTAGAATACAAGGCACCTGGGTGGCTCAGTTGGATAAACGTTCAACTTCAGCTCAGGTCATGATCTTACAGTTCGTGGGTTCAAGTGGCACATTTGGCTCTCTCTCTCTCTCCTGTTGGCACAGAGCCTGCTTCATTCAGATCCTCTGTCTCCCTCTCCCTCTGCCCTTCCCCCTTTCAACTCTCGCTCTCTCGAAATAAACATTTAATAAAGAAAAAAATAAAATATTTAGAATAATACAGGCAAAAAAAAATGGAGAAATATGCACTTAATGAGTTTAAGTGTGAGGGGCCTTTCACTTTCTTTTTTAAATGTTTTTTTTTTTTTTTTTTTTTTTTCAACGTTTTTTTTTTTTATTTATTTTTGGGACAGAGAGAGACAGAGCATGAACGGGGGAGGGGCAGAGAGAGAGGGAGACACAGAATCGGAAACAGGCTCCAGGCTCTGAGCCATCAGCCCAGAGCCCGACGCGGGGCTCGAACTCACGGACCGCGAGATCGTGACCTGGCTGAAGTCGGACGCTTAACCGACTGCGCCACCCAGGCGCCCCTTTAAATGTTTATTTTTGAGAGAGAAAGAGAGCGAGCACAAGTTGGGGAGAGGTAGAGAGGGACAGACCATCTGAAGCGGGCTCTGTGCTGACAGCTGAGAGCCAGATGCGGGGCTCAAACTCACAAACCGCGAGATCATGACCTGAGCTGAAGTCGGATGCTCAACCGACTGAGCCAGCCAAGCACCCCTGGGATTTTTCACTCTCTATCATTTTTCCCCCAGTTTTTTCCATCGTGGTAAAATATACGTAGCACAAAATTTGCTAGCAACAATTTTTAAGGGTCATTGCAGTTCAGCGGCATGAAGTGCATTCATATTGGGGTGTAACCGTCACCCCCATCCACCTTGAGAACTTTTTACATCGTGCAGAACTGCAACCCTGTCCCCAGGAAACACTAACTCCCCACTCCCCTCCCCCGGCCCCCGGCAACCAGCGTTCTACTTCCCGTCTCTAGGACTCTGCCTGCCCTAAGTTCCTCTTACAAGTGGTGTTTGTCTTTTGGTGACTGGCCTCAGCATCATGTCCTCAGAGTTCATCGAGGCTGGCAAATGTGTCAGAATTCCCTTCCTCTTCAAGGCAGAATAGTATTCCGCAGGATGTATACACCCTATTTGGCTCCTCCGTTGGTTTGTTGATAGGCGCCTGACTGGCCTCCATTTTTAGCTATTGTGAATAATGCTACTGTGAACATGGGTATACTTTTAATTATGTCTTTTTACTGTCTTCGTAGCTTTTTAATTTTTCAAAGTGTTTACTTTTGAGGGAGAGACAGGGAGTGAGCGGGGGAGGAGGAGAGAGAGAGGGAGACACAGAATCCGAAGCGGGCTCCAGGTTCCGAGCCGTCAGCACAGAGCTCGACGCGGGGCTCGAACTCATGAACCGCGAGATTGTGACCTGAGCTAAAGTTGGACGCTCCACTGACTGGGCCACCCAGGCGCCCCTACCGTATTTGTGGTTCCCTAATTTTTTGTTAAACTTATGATCAACAAAAATCGGGTTTTGTTTTGTTTTGTTTTTTACAAAAAGCTTCCAACGGCCACTACACATGAGAAAAAGGTGCTCGACCTCGCCAGTAAAGGAAGAATCTGAAAGCAGTGAGATATTGACTTTCTCCTATCAGCTTGGCTGAGATGAAAACTATCAGTAATTCCCGGTGTTGTCAGGCATTGGAGGGGCTGGGCCTCTGCACAGGCCACCTTTATGGATGGAAAAACCTTAACATCTCTGCAAACCCTTTCACGTGCAATTCCATTGCTAGGAGTTCAGCCTAAGGCAACAGACAAGGGCTAAGAGACGCACAAGGCTGTGGCTTGCGTTTATGCCAAAATTTCACCCTTTTCTTTTAACCTATTCATCCAAGGGCCACTCCCATGGCACAAAATTCTCTCCTGTAAACGTAGAATTCAGTGACTTTTAGCAAATTTACAGACTTGTGCATCTATCACTACACCGAAATTTGGAACATTCCCATCACCCCAAAACAGGCATCCCTTGCGCTGGTCTGCCCACATTCCCCGTTTCCATCCCCAGTCCCTGGCACCCACTCATCTACTCTCTGTCTCTAGGGCTTTGTCTCTCCTACACATTTCCTATCAATGGAATTGTACAATAGGTGACCACTGATCGTGCAAAGATATTCATGATGTATGTCCAAGTTAAAATTATGTACAGGGGCACCTGGGTGGCTCAGTTGGTTAAGCATCCAACTCTTGATTTCGGCTCAGGTCATGATCTCTCGGCTGGAAGAATGAGCCCCACGTCGGGGCTCTGTGCTGAGCACAAAGTGTGGAGCCTACTTGGGATTCTCTCTCTCCTTCTCTCTCTGCTTCTCACCTCCTCCCGTGCTCACACACACATGCTCTCTCTCTCAAAATAAACATCGAAAGATGCTTTAACAATTACGTATAAATAGAATACTCAGCGGGGGAAAAAACAGACAAATCTCAAAAGCATTATGCAGAGCCAAAGAAGCCAGACCCAAAAGGCTCAAGGACTTCACTGACCTACAAGTCAAGAAACGGCAAAACCACTACGACAGAAAGCAGGTCAGTAGTTAGCTGCCAGCACAGGGAGGGGAACGGACTGCCAAGAGGCACAAAGGAACTTTCGGAGGAGGGAGGAACATTTTCTATATTCTGATCATGGTGGTGATTACACATCAGTACATATTTCTCAAAACTCACTGGGCTGTATGCATACTTAAAAGCCAGTGAATTTTTTAAAAAACGGTGAGTTTTATTGTATGTAGATTATATCATAATAAAGCTGATTGAAATATTTATAATAAATATATTTATAATTATATGTGTGTGTGTGTGTGTGTGTGTGTGTGTGTGTGTGTGTATACATGTTTAAAAGTCTACAACACTGAGCCTGGCTGGCTCAGTTGGTGGAGCTTGCGACCCTCGATCTCAGGGCTGTGAGTTTGAGCCCCACATTGGGTGTAGAGTACCTTAAAAAAATAGTCTAGAACACTATAGGGGCGCGTGGGTGGCTCAGGTGGTTAAACGTCCAACTTCAGCTCAGGTCACGATCTCACAGTTTGTGGGTTCGAGCCCCGCGTCGGGCTCTGTGCTGACAGCTCGGAGCCTGGAGCCTAATTCAGATTCTGTGTCTCCCTCTCTCTCTGTCCCTCCCTTGCCTGTGTTCTCTCTCTCGCTCTCTCAAAACTAAACAAATAGATAAATAACATTAAAAAATAAAAATAAAATTCTAGAACACTGGGACACCTGGCTGACTCAGTCGGTGGAGCGTGCGACCCTTGATCTCAGTTCGAGCTCCACGTTGGGTGTAGAGATTACTTAAAAAATTAGTCTAGAATATTGTATGCTAAAATATTAAACTATGGTTCTATCTGGTCCAATATGGCAGAGTTTGAACATCAGTAAGAAACGTAAAGGTAAGAATGGAGAGATGAATACGTTTAAACCCATGAGGCATGATGATTAAAATAAATGTTAAAGGCCAGCCAGGCTGATGGCTCAGAACCTGGAGCCTATTTCCGATTCTGTGTCTCCCTCTCTCTCTGCCCCTCCCCCGTTCATGCTCTGTCTCTCTCTGTCCCAAAAATAAATAAATAAACGTTGGAAAAAAAAATTAAAAAAAAAAAAAAAAAAAAAAGGCCAGCCAGGTAAGATGCTGGGGAACCAAGACGTTATTTTGCAAACTGGTAACGAATGGGGGGGGGGGGGGGCGAGGGAAGCAAAACCTTGATTCTGACTTCCCTTAGTTCCTCCAGGTCACTAAGTAATT